CCTTCGGAGTAAACAACCTAAAGGGGTATACCTGAAAAATAAACTTCTTCCTCTTCTTCTATATTATTATATTTTTATTAATTTTAATATTAATTAAATATTAAATTTAATTTATTCATATAAATAATATTTATTAATATTAATATTAAAAAGCATAAAAAGTAGTATAAAATATTAAAATTAAGTGTAATATTAAAATAAAAACGTAAATATATTAAAATAAAATATTAAAATATTAAAATTTAAATAAAGTAGTATAAAAATATTTAAAAATATTAAAAGTAAAAGATAAAAAAAAGACATTGAATGTCTTTTCAAATATGAAATACACATGTGTATTCAATATTTTTCAATATTTTGTGTTACTAGGGACATTTGGAAAATATATTTTTTTCTTGCATTATTATAAACATCACAAATTGTATATGCATTTGTATACAATTAAGCAAAGATACTATAATATTTTTCAAAAAATCATTATTTGAAACAGGCGTTGAAAATTGATAAATAAAATTAAGATAAGTATTGTTCCCTTTTGTTTCCCCTTCTACTTTTTCTTTTTTTATAACACCGAGGTTTTATGCACCGAGACGTTTGGTTTATCAAAATGGCTTTGAGGTTTTGTTCTATTTTTGTTTTTTTTTGTTTTTTTTTTAGAACAGTTCCACGTTGAGTTCAGTAATTTTTTTTTTGTTCAAACAGTTCATAGAACGAAATATGAAAAAATAAATCGTCGATTTATTTCCTCGAATGAGAAATCAATGGTGGTAGTAGTAAGTGGATTGAGGGAAAGAAATAAAAAAAATCAATGATAATAAAAATCTGAAGATTTATTATTCTACGAATTTGTTCCTCCTCGTTCTTTGTGTGTTTCAAAAAAATAAAAATAAAAAAAATTAGAAAAAGAACATTGAACGGAGAGACGTTGAAAAATATTTTTCTATAATAAAACGCGCGTATGATTTTATTTTTCATTTCTACTTGTACGAATATTTGAATCATTCGCTATTTAAATAATTGTACGAGTAGAGATGAATATGTATGTGTATGTGTATGAGTGTGTGTGTGTTTAAGCATTGTGTAAATAAAATTAAAAACGTATATTTCGGCATTAAGAAGTAAGGAAAATTTCAAAGGTTTAGTTAGTCTAACACTCAAGGACAAACGAGACGATCAATGAGGAAAGAAGGAAGAAACGGTCGAACGTGCGTATGTATAGTACTATTCACACTACACACATATACATATATATATATATATATGCATATATATATTTATGCATCCATGTACACATTATGCATGTTACTACGTATTCTCTAATTGCGAAGATATTCCTATTGAAAAAGAAAAAAAAACAAAGGAAGTAAGAAAAACAAATATGACGAACAAATCTCGTAAGATTCGAATAAAAAAAATTAAATGTAAAAAATAAAATTAAATGATAATAATAATAATAATAATAATTGAAGAATATGTGAGTACGCGGGACGGAAAATTGAATACGGACGAGGAAAATTTCTCAAGGTCAAATATATGAAATTCGTTTAAAAAGTAAAAAAAAAAAGATGGAAGGAAGAAAAAACAATATGGCTTCTCTCTATTTTTATATCAAATTAAAAATCAAAATATATATGATAATAATTTGTTAAAATAAAATTAAATTAAAATAATTATATATATATATATAAAGAGTTCGCGTTTTGTTATATATGTGTGTGTGTGTGTGTGCACGCGCACGCGAACGTACGTGAAAAATAAGGAAAAGAAAGAAAGAAAAATAAAAAAAAATAAAAATAAAAAGAAAATATTATGTACAAACCACAAAAAGTGAGTTGACAGCGCAAAGAAGATATTTGATGCAACGTAGGCCAACATCGAGATGAGTGGCCGCCATTTTGGTCCTCTTCTTAAGTTCAGGTAATTAATAATGATCCACAGAGAGAAAGAAAGATAGATAAAGAAGGATTGATATAAAAAAAATATATATATATATGTCAGTTAAGGAAAAAGATAGAGATCCGTGCACTTCCACGCTCGGAACAACACCGACTGCTGCTTCTTTCAACTATGGCAATGACTATGTTATCGTCGAGGCTCATTTTGCCTCGCCTTTTCGACGATCGAGCGCCTCCTTCGATATCTTTCCGCACAATTGATAACACACAAAACAACCAACCGTACGATTAAATTCATTTAGAATTAATTTTTTTTCACACACATACACACACACACACATATATATATATATATTTAATATGATATTATAGTTTCCTGTTTTTCTTTTTTGTTATATCATATTATATTATTATATATAATTAAATATTAATATTATTATATATAATTTAATATATTATATATTATATATAATTTATTATTATTATTAATATTATTATATATAATTTATATTAACACATTCACGGCCGGCATATTTTTTCCGTTTCTTATACTAAGTACCGACCAAACATAATGAAATTTTGAAAAAACAATAATTTTTACATATATTCTATATATAAATATATAAATATAGGTTTAAACTATTTAAATTGATATTTAAATAATAAAATATAATAATATATAATACATAATACTTAATTAGATTATAGTATATAATATTTAAATATTACATTTAAATAATTAAATATAAATTTAATATATAAATTTTTTATAAATATGTAAATATAAATTTTATATATATATTTATTTATTATAATATAATAAATATTATATTATAATATATATAAATATATAAAATATTATATATATATAAATTTATTTTTATTAAATGTTTAAAATGTAAAATAACGTGAATCACGTTAGCGGTCGCGAATTTGTTAATATATTTATTATAATTTAATATATTATATTATATTTATTAAATTATATTATATTATTTATATGTTCTATCTTCCCCTTTTTCTTTTTTATTATATTCGTTATTTTTTGTTTCTTTTTTTTTCAATCAAGAATCCTGTCGATCCTGTCTATCAAGAATCACATCGATTACACCCGTATATATACCTGTTTTCAACCTAACTTCTCGATTACATCACTTTTTTTGTGTAATGTGGTTTCTAATGGAACGTAAACGTAATACTTTTGCAGTATCGTAATTACCATTGCGTTCATAGGAAACGGATGAAGAGCAATAATTGTAGGGTTTCAGTATCTTCTTTGATACTAAATTATATGTTGAAATGAACCATCCAATTAATGATTTTAATTATTCATTTTCATTTTATATCTCATTGAAAATAATTATTTTTTTTATTATATATATATTATTATAGAATGTGTATATTATTATATTATATTATTAATATAGTATACTATATTAGTATACTATAATATATTAAAAATATAGAATATATTATAATTATTAATATTTTATTATTAATAGTATATATCAAGTTTTATAATAAAACGTAATATACATTGTGCTCACTATGTTGAAAGGTTTTGTGTAAGGAAACAGCGCTATCAGGTGCTAGAAAGATATACGCGTATTTGCGAACAACTACTATGATCCATTAGATATCAGTATACATATGTTATACATATATGTATGTTTGTGTTATCGGTAAATGGGTTTTGCGTATGGTCGAAGATAAGTAAAGTAGTTGAGTCTCTCGAGTAACAACAGGTGGATTCAAAAGTTCTTCAGAAATATCGTTCATTCTTATAATGAAATATAATAGAATTTTATTGAATTTTATTCTATACACGTATTTTATATACTTATGATTACTTTTCATTTTTTTCAGTGAAACACATACACATACTTGTAAAGTTATGATTTTTTAGTACACACGTACTAACTGCATCATTATTTATACATAGACGAAATAAACGATAAAGTGCATGTTACCTATGAGCGTGACAAAGAGGCACGCGAACTTTCTAGTAAAAAAAAAAAAGAAAAAAAGGCAAAAGTTTCATTTTAATCGTCATCTATGATTCATACATTCTTTTTCTTTTTAAAAATGGTTCTATTCGTCATATATATATATATATATATACATGTTGAAATTATTTCATAACAAAGTTATTGATTTGGAATGAAATGTATATTTTCTATTTGTAATAGATAATATTCATGTAAACACATCGATGATTACATTTATATTTAAATTATATTTTTAATTATTAATATCGTTAATTGACTTTCATAATTTCGTACGCGTATATATATATATACATGTATCTCTTGTTTCGAAATATTTAAAGATTTCTATTTGAACATTATATGAATTTTATGTAATATTGAAAAAACAAACATTATCTAACGATTCATTTTTGACAATATCGTTTTCAAATTACATTGAATTTATTTAGTTTAAAATAATATGGTGCCTAATAACTAATAAACTCATTTTTTTTTTTGACTTAGACTACTTTCATAATCATCATATAATTATGGGCATATATATAAATATGAGTCCATAAAAATAGAAAAAAAGAATTGGTAAATATGATTTTTATTACAAATCTATAGAATTGACATTTTTTGTTTTATATAAGCATTACAACACACACATCAATTTTTTTATTTTTTATTATTATAACAATAACTTACTAAATCGTTGCCAAATGACGCTTTTTTCCACTACTTGAAAACACAATAAATATATGTATAATATATTATATATAATTATATTATACATATATAATAATAATAATAATAATAATAATAATAATAATAATAATAATAATAAAGTATAATAAGTAATATAAAACGATCGTACAATATGTGCATAAGTATGCACGCATAAATCGATCAGACTATTTAAAAAAGGAAGAGAGATTACTTAAATATATAATACTCACATATACATATGTATATATGATATATAAAAGTATATGAAAGAGAAATCTGTTAAAATCTCGTCGTTTATGATGGAAAATAGAAATTTTAATATTTTGTAAATGGAATTTATTGCTGCGTCTTATTAAAGATATATTTTTTATTTGTTGTTGTTGTTGTTGTTGTTGTTACTTCATACACTTTCGTAACTATTTCTAATAGATCGTGCCAGATAGATTGAGAACCATATGCCTACCGCCTGTAATCAAATTTTCTTTTTAGTAATTCATTCATTCATTCATTTATTTATTTTTCTTTTTTTTCATTTCATTAACAAATATAAATAAGAATATAGAGAGTCTTCTTTATTTAATTAGAAAAAGATTTATATACCTGAACAATTGCGATACCAAGACCAACACCACCTAGCTGTACAGCATGTGCCTTGATGTATTGTCCAAACGTGTATTCACATCCTTGCTTATAAACAGTGTCCACCGTAATGTTACAAGCACTGGAACCAATTTGTCCTATCTTATTAGAACAACAAGACATTGGTAGTTCGCCATCTGGAAATTTGGCCTTCCAATCGGTACTGTTTATAACACCGCAACACTTGAACTAGAATTTGAAAGAAAATAATTTTATTGTTTTTACTTGGTAGGATAATTTTTTGATGACATTCTCTTCTTATAAATATTACAAATTAAATATATTAACATATTCGCGACAGCTAACGTAAATTCACGTCTTTTCAAGTTCTATTCCTAGTTGTCGCTGACATGATTCACGTCATTTTTTGTCCGTCAAAATTAAAAATATATATATATGTATATAAAATTTATATTTATATATTTGTATAAATTTTATAATATAAATGTATAATATTCAATTTTTAATATATAATATTTAATATTTAAATAATTCTATTTTATTATTTAAATATAAATTTAAATAATTCATTATTTTTGCCGGTACTCAGTATTAATAAAGGAAAAAAATACGCCGGCCGCGAATGTGTTAATATAATATTATACGGTTTTATGTTTTTAGATTGTATATACATGGGATTTTTTAATTACGTATATATATATATATAATTATAAAAATGATAGAAAATACATTACATCTTGTTGCATTTCATCCCAGAATTGAGTGATCTCAGTACTGTTTTTATACGTCGGTATAGTAGCTTTCATCTTATTTTCAAGAATTTCACCTGCATCTGATCTCAGAACGTAACCAGCAATTCCAGCAGAGAGTTCGAGTATGAAAATAAATATTAATAGAGCCGTGAACTGTGAAAAAATTATTATAATGTTTCAATTAATTCGATAAAAGATTGTAATTGTTTTTTTTTTTTTTTTTTTTTTTAAAGGAATATATATATAATTCTGTTAATACTTACGGTAATCAACATGCAGTAATTTTCTCTCACGGCACCGCAGCATCCGAAGAAAGCAATGAAGAAGATAATAATACCGATCGCTATCATCAACGATGGTACTGACAAATATTTATTGTCAAGAATGTGATTGTAATTGTAATAAACTGCATGAATAGCCGTACCGAATATCAGGAATATTATTCCTGTCATCTGAAAATAAATAAATTAATAAATTAATATTGTTATTCGTTAACAAGTCCCCTAGTAGCACAAAATATTGAAAAATATTGAAAAATATTGAATATACATATGTATTTAATATTAATATTAAATTTAATTTATATATAATAATACAATATATTTATTACACTAATAATATTAATGTAATAATATATAATAAATATTAATAATAATAACGCAATATATATTTACTACACAATAATACAATATATTTATTACAGTATATTTATATAATACAATAATATTTATTAATATTAATATTAAAAAGCATAAAAAGCAGTATAAAATATTAAAATTAAAAATGTAAGAAATAATAAAAAAAAGACATTGAATGTCTTTTTAATATTAAATACACATGTATTCAATATTTTTCAATATTTTGTGCTACTAGGGTCTCATCGGCGTATTAAAATAATAATATCGTCGTTGCAAATAATAATAATAATAAAAAAAAAAAATAACAAATTGTAACTTTATACAATGTATAATAATTAATTATATATTAATATTTAATTAATTGTATATTAATATTATTACAAATTACGGTGGAAATATTCGCAGAAGAGTTATGCGAGTTAAAGGTGGCGTAACCATTGTAGTATATTTTTCGAACTCAAACATTACATCGTTAATAGATTCCAATAACGTTTATTTATTCAATGTGTAACACAAGTACTGTTAATCATTTAATCAACCGACACGCACAAAATGTTCCATTTAGAATCGTTCGTTTTTCAATTAATCGATAAAATACTAACACATAAATTCTTCTTCATTCTTTCTGTTTCTTGTGATAGATTTTCATCATTTTAAAATTGCATTATTTAAATTAGCAAGAAAACGATATATTAACTGTTTTCTAACAACTTAATCTAATTTATATGACTTAGAGTGTTAGGGTACATGTTACTGATCATTATATGGCTTCTTTACCCTCATTTTCTCTGTCTTATCTTTTTTTTTTTTTTCTATTTAGAACTATCGTTAACAAGATAAAATTCACATATATATATATATATATATCTGTTAAGTATAAGCGTGTATGAGTTTTTTAACACTAGATATACCACCATTTTCAGTATACCTATTTCTACCACACTAGTCAAAATGACTGGTGTATCAAAAAAAAAAATGCTTTTTAAGGTTTCCAGTCTTTATTTATTCTTTAAAAAATAACACAAAATGTTAACAAAATTAAAAAACAAAATGATTAAATTTTAATAGATCAATGGATTAATAGATATTTTTAAATAATAAAATGCTTAATTATTTACAAAAATCAAATGTTACATGAAGTAGAGACATTTTAAATTAAAATGGCTAATGGTGTTAAGAACAAATCTATATTGTTTATCGTAATATCGTAAACTAGACAAAAAGAAAAGAAACTTTACTTTATAGTTAGATTAATTATTAAACGTTTTTTTTAATGATGCAATGAGGAAGCAAAGAGGGAAATTTAAAGATTTTCAATGATCGATATTTTCGACAAATATGTGCACGTTTCAAGAGAAAATATTAGCTTAATTTATAAATTATCATATGCTATTTCTATCTTCAATAATACTTCAAATGTTGAGTCATGCAACTGAGCAATGCTGACAATATCATTTTTCGAAGAAACAATATCAGGTTCATCAAAGAAGAGAGAGAGAGAGAGAGAGAGAGAGAGAGAGAGAGGGAGAGAGAGAGAAAGAGAAAAAAAATTAAAGGTTAGAATTTTTCAATATCAGCTATAAGTGTTAATGTTTCGTCTACCAATGATAAAATTACTTTTTGACTACGCCATCTTGCTTTTCTGATAATTAAGTATTTCTTATTAATTATGAACAATGAATAATTGAGGAATAAATCTTTCCCTTAATCATTATCATTTTTAATCCCTCTTTCTTGTACTTAAAATAATTTTGTCGTTGACGAACAACCAACAAAATAGAAATATCTAATATTCAGATAACCTATAATGAACTAATGATATTCCGATGATTTGAATCATGAATCAAAATTTTTAAACATTGTAACAGCATTAATAAACAAAAATGCATATTGACGTGGAATTTAAATAAAAATAAAAGAAAAGAAAAATGTTCACGTTCGATTCCGTATATATAAAAAAAAAAGAAAAAAGAAAAAGAAAGAAAATAATTCATTAATTATAAATTATTGATTAATAATTAATTCGTACGAGAAAATTTGCATAATGTTACGTATTATTTGAATGCGTTTATGTAATGTTATATAAAAGAACACAGTTGATTTCGAAGTTGCTTTTATACCGAATAAGACAAGCACCTCACATGAGCTGCGGTGTCCGAGCGGTTAAGGAGATGGACTTGAAATCCATTGGGTTCTACCCGCACAGGTTCGAATCCTGTCCGCAGCGAATTTTTTTTTTCTCAATTTTTCTTGAAAAATAAATTTTTTCTCTACTTTATTTTTCTAAACTATTGAAAATATTATTTTATTTATATTTTTAAAACGTTATAAAAATATATATTCCGTTATACAAAACATTTCTGTGCGCGTATGCGTATTATATACGAGAGTATATAATATATAACTTCGAAAAGTTTCAACTACAAGATGATACACAATTATCTATAATTTAAAATAAAAATATCAAGATAGCAACATCTTTTTTTTTTTTTTGTTACATCGAAGCCGGAAAAGATAGAAGAAAATTAAATCGTCGTGAAAAGAGTTTCATGCGTCTGATAATTTTTACGATCGTTCACAGTTCGTTCGTTTACGTTGCCAAAAATATATATCGAGAAAAAAAATTAAATAAATAAACTACGTCATTCGTTCGATTAATCTTTGCGATATCTTGAATCGAACGATAAAAAAAAAATAACAAGAAAAAAAGTAATACAATCTGGAACGTTTCCATTTCTTTAAGTTTTTGCGTTTGTTAACATTTACTGTATTATATACACTGTTTTATAAAGAAAATGTTAACAAAATGAAACGAAAAATATGGCGTTTGATGTAGCGAAACCGTATACCTTAAAAAAAAAAAAATTAAAAAAAAAAAAAAAAGAAGAAATAAAATAAAAAACGAAAAAGGTTTCTTACTACATATATATATATATATACGAGAGTCAACGTCAGAAGACCGGTTTTCTTGGTGGTAAAGACTTAACCTGGTATTCAGAATTCATTTTTTTTTTTTTATTATTACTTTTCGTCTTTCTCTTTACTTCTTAACGTCTCTTTCCCTATTTGTTTTTCGTGCACTCAAGAAAAAGAAAATAAAAAATACAGAAGAAAAAAAGAAAGAAAAATCTCAACATTAACACTAGATATACCACCATTTTCAGTATACATATTTCTACCACACTAGTCAAAATGACTGGTGTATAAAAAAACAATGCTTTTTTTGAGACTTCCAGTCTTTGTTTACTTTTAAAAAATAACAAAAAATATTTAACAATAATAATTTTTACAGATCAATGAATTTATAGATATTTTTAAATAACAAAACGCTTAATTATTTACAGAAATCAAATGTTACATGAAGTAGAAATATGAAATTGAAATGGCCCGACAAGTAAAAATGACATGTCTGATATATCTAGTGTTAAAGTTTTCAAATGGATAGTACGACAAAGATAAAAATAATAATAATAATAACAAAAAAGAAGAAGAAAAAAAGGAGAAGAGCAAGAATAAATTTTATAGAAATAAAACGAGAAGACGTATTTTTCACATGATTCATACATCTTTCTTTCTCGCCGATATTAGAAGTTGATAATAGTATTTGAAATAGCATCAGTAACAAAAGTATCGGTTATATACCACCAATAGCAACAGCAGCACCAGCACCAGCACTAGCAAGAGCCAGCCGGTGCAGCTGGTGCAACGATCTCTTTCACCTTGAAAAAGAATAAGACTAAAAAATATTCAAGAAGCGGGAGTCTCCGGTGTTTGACGTACTTGCTTACACACATATATATATATATATATATATACACTCGTTTTATATATATGTTTTCTCGTACTCGTGGCACTTCTAACGATATATATTTCACAGAATTATTGCGACGTATTTATCTATTTCTATCTCACTCTACTTATTTATCAACTTCTCATTCATTCTCTCTTTCTCTCTCTTTCTTTCTTTTTATCTTTTTTTTTCTCTTTCTAGTTGCACTTGCACTAAAAAAAAAACACTTGCACGTATTTATCGGCTAAAAATCCCAATGGTTAACACTGAAAACTTACCACAAAGGCTAAATTGAAGATAAACATAAGGTACTTGACGCATTTTGAACTAGCCGATAATTTCATCGATGCCATTGTGTCGATGATGTTACCTGTGTAAAGAAAGTTAAACAAAGTAATGTAACGCTAAGTATATACTGTATGTGTTAAAGGATGGAAGTTAAAATGGAGAAAGGAAGAAACGAAAAGAAAAAAAAAGAAAACAAAAATTATCACGTTCAGAAAATAACTTGGATGTAATAGAAAAAGAAAGAGGATAAAAAAGTATCAAGCTTACTCTTTCTTTCTTTATTTTGTTTTTTCTATCTCTATCTCTATCTCTATCTCTTTCCCTTTCTCTTTGTAACCGAGATGTTTTACCGATGGTAGAGGAATACACACTGATTGTGTCAGAAAAGTATTAGCAAAAACCGAAAATGAAACAATGATAATCCCGCTAAATAAGATACTATCGATAGCCGTACATTGGTCAAGCGAGAATGTTCAACTGCTCATGCGCACTCGCTAGTGTTATATCCGATCTTTCACGATTACGAACGAAATTAAACGAACGATTCTGGTAAAACACGCGGGCATCCTCAAGATAACTAAGTTACAATTTATATAAAAACTCAATTGAAAGTTTATTAAGTTGTTTTTAAGCTGCTGATCTATATGATAATCCATTGAAATAATAATTGATAATCTGGTGTTTATTTAAAAATTAGTAACTTTAAAAAAATAGAAATCTACTATTATCGATACAGTAGGTAATATTCCAAAGTAGATATTCATTGTTATCGATTGTTGAAAAATTAAAAGATATAGATATCTACTATTATAGGCAGTTGATAAAACAGAAATCAATTATTACATTTTTTTAAATAGGAATGGGCTTTGTCAGAAGTCTTCGTATAAAAAATGCAAAAAATTACTAATATATAAGGTTGACGCTAAGTTGACACTAGGTTTAGGAGAAGGGTGAGTTATAGTTAGGATTTATACTAATTAACAAATTTTATGAACAAATGTATTATTTCGAATCTAAGGATTTTTTTTTTTTTTTTTTTCCATTTTTTAATACTTTTATAGATTATTTTTGAGACAACAAAAACTGAATAAAAATGAACAATTTTAAATATATTTTAATTTAAATATAAAAATTTGGATCGCGTATAAATTGTATTTATAATACATTTTGCAGTTAGCAAATTTATTATATTTATATGTTTTTAAATAACAACATCTCGCGTAATCGAGTTAAATATTTGTTATGAGTTAAGAATGATTTATGGTAGAAAACACTTAACATTCGTACAATCCTGATACCCAAGAGGAAAAAGCGCGTGCGCGTGCATCGAGCACGCATGCACGTTTATACGTAGCAATTATGTAAGGGTTTACAATAATGGGGGTCTTTCTGACGTGGCCGACATTGCCTAGGAAATTTTCTAAGCCACGGCATGTTGCGTGTAATAGATTAGTTTTACCTAGTGTTTGGATCAACGCCATTATGCTATTAGTTACTAAATACAGGACAATGCATTTAGATATCTGATTAAAGTATTTTTTTAAACAAATATATATATATATATAAATTCGTATTCTATCCAATCCATTATAGTAATTTGACATAGACATATTGAGTGTTTTGATTTAATCAATTTATATTAATAATAAGAAAATTGATCTGACAAATGGTCGTTGATTAACTACTAAAAATAAATTTTGATTACCTGATGACGCGAACATCTTTGGCCACGTTGACGACAATAATAATTTCTTCACTCGAATATAATTCTTTGAATAAGAACTTTAATAACTTATTAAAACTATGTACCACACACACACATATGTATATATATATTTATATGAATACACAAGAAAAATATCTTATATCAATGTAAATGAATCTTACACTGAAGTAATTAAACCATGTAATAGTTTAACAATACGCCCGTCGTTAACAACTGCACCGTGAAGTTGCCGTTTAAGTAATGATCTCGATATTATTTATAGCATATCTGGTGTATTTTAAATAATTAATGGCTTATTTATCATTGGTCATAATGAAATACCGAATTAACAATATGTATTAATTAGTATTAATTATAATTGATGCTAATAATATTCAGAATGATTGATATACGTTTCAATCAGTTACAGATTTCTTTTCTTTCTTTATTTTTTTTTTTTTTTGGTTTGATATCGAATTTCAACGAAGCTTAACAGTTTCCTTCGTGTTAGAAAAGCGAAGCCCCTGAAAATGAACGTTCTAACTAACGTCTCGGTTTGCAGAGAGGGAAAAATAGAAAGAGAGAGAGAAAGATAGAAATAGTGAGGTCAGTGAATTTGCTGTCTGCCACCTACGTGAGGTCTGCAATTAAATTAAAACATATATCGTATGTGTGTGCATGTGTGTGTCGAGACCATCATATATAGCTTATTCTCTTTTATCATCGGGTGCATCGTACTCGATGCACACCAAGTTTTTCTTTCATCATTCAGACATTCATATTCGCATATGTACATATACTATACATAAATACCAATATATAAATTTATTTATTTCATAGCACGAAAGCCCTACTAGCTTTTCAATATATTTTTTAAAATTATTTTTTCTTTTGCATTAAACTTTTTCTAATTTTTTGATAATTTACAGAAGGATGTTATAAAAAAAAGTATATTTTTTAGTATTAAATATGTTTCTTTGGTACTATATATATGCACTTGATCGCGTGGGTCTTATCGTTGTTATTAGCTTTTTGAGAACGCCTTCTTCTCTTCGTATTTTTATTTGATAAAAGAGAAAAATTTGTTTATTAAATAGACGAATTGAAAATTGTAGTAAACGAATTATTATGCAAAAATATAAAAATAAATATCTATGTTACGAGAAGATTATATTTTGCGCACAAACAAAAGAAGAGAATACAAATGCTTGAATTTTCCTCGAAAGTAACAGCTGTTCGCGCATAACTAACAACGAGTAAAACTAGGAAGGTGTACACAACAAGAGCTTACAGGGTGTCTCAATAATGTTTTTCTATAATTTTACCCATAATCTATAAATTATTGATACATTTTTAAAATTCCCATATTTGCATAAATACATTTTCATCTTTTTTTTTTCTCATCGTATTCGTAGTTAATTTTTTTTTATTATTATTCTTTTAAAAAAAACAAAAACATATTTTACAATATACTTCTTCGTACGTGTATGATTTTTATATGTCATTTTGAGAAATAAATCATCTTTCAATGTAACGTAACTTCGGTTCAATGGCACTTCCTTATTTCTACGTTACGAAGCTCGTTAGACCAATCGGAAGGACCGCCATGAGTGACCGCGAAATTCAATTCGTTTGATTTGGGACAAGGGTAAATATCGAGTAATATTATCCATCTATCTATTTTAAAGACTGGATGTGTATATTACTTAAATGCATATGTATGTGTGTGTGTAGATATATATGAGAGACAAAAAGTAATATACCACATTGAATGTTACATTTAAATCGATGTATCTCATAAAAATGGGGAAGGGTGAATGAAGGATAAGCCATGGGTGACGAGGGACGATAAGGTATCCCTGTGTTAAAAAAAAAAGAAAAAAAAAGCAGAAAGAAAAGAAAAAAGGGCAAAGGGGGAATGACAATCGTTCTTTTCGAACTATACCCACTTCTCATACTAACTTACGTGTATACATCCTATATATATATATACGTCTTTTTGTGCAATTGTATGCGTACTTGTGTGTATGTGTATGTCGCGGTAATTGTTAACCAAGGATCCTATTGAATCGAAGTAGGGCTGCCACGAACCAAGTCCACCCTCGTATAAAATGATCAACCGAGCCCTTCGTTATATTTTTTTCTTTTCTTTTTGTTTTTTGTTTCTCCCCTATAATAATAATAATAATAATAATAATAATAATAATAATAATAATAATAGTAATAGTAATGATAATGATAATGATAAAATGTTTCCTGTATTTTTGGTCTGGGTATACTTCTCATTCCCGTTTACGATACAACACGACGAATATATCAATTGTTTTTATTTATTTCTTAGACACACAAATTTTTTATTCAAATTAAATTAAAATTAACGTTAAACATATTTTGTCTATATTTCTTCTAAAGACTATTAAAAGTCGAGAGAGAAGGAGTGACAGATAGAAGAATGAAATAAGAAAATAATTAGTAGGGTAGCCATGATGCATCTTCTATCGTCGAGACAGTCCTCAGCATCTCATAGGTGCGCTGTAGTATAAAATGGCAGGGCTGTATATTCTATAAGACACTACGTTAGTGTATAATACAACTAACAACAATAAAAAATAAATTATTAAGAAATACTTTTATTTTGAAAACGTCGATAATCGTGATCGTTAATCATAAATATTTCAACATCTTGCATTTAAAATCCAATGATCCAACTAATCGTTACACCACATAATTTCCTTTTAAATTGTCAATCATTTTGACCATCGATTATTTTCAGATTCGACATAAGAAGAAGAAGAAGAAGAAGAATTAACGAGAAAGAAAAATTGTTTTTTACGATCGATAAATCATAACCTATGAAGATGAACTCGAATTGGGAGTTGGGAAACAAGAAAGAAAAAAGCATTTCGAAAAAAAATGTAATATTAAAAATTGACAAAAAAAAAAAACCACCTATCTCTTAATACATCCTTGAGCGTGCGCCCAGGTAAAGTGGTAGTGGGGGGTTAAAAGTGTTGCGCGCGCACGCTACCATCGTATTGTCGGGTAACACAACAAAAATATATAATTCTAGACGACACTTCGTAACGAACGTTCGAAGGGGTAGTATCTCGTTCGATTTGTCATTCGTAAAAAAAATCTTCGTCAATAAAATTAAAAAGAAATTTTCATATAACGCGTTTTAAGTGTTAAATAATATTAATAATAATAATAATAATAATAATAATAATTTGCTTTATTCAAATATAAAATATAAACGAATAATTAAGGTGAAACATATAGAAACGAAAATAGATATACATATATTCATAATAATATTTTCATATTTTTCGCGCCTAATTGAAAATAGAGAGTGAGATTATAAAGTGAAGAAAAAAAAATGGTGTCCGGCACTATGGCTTGCGTGAAATACCTGCTATTCCTTTTCAACTTGATATTCGCGGTGAGTAACGAGAACTAACGGTGTCATTGTACTCTCTCTTTCTTTCTCTTTCTCTTCCTTTTTCTCTTCCTCTTTGTATTTTCTTATTGACATTTTTTTTATAAGAAGAAAAGGAATTTATTTTGTTTGTTGTGTATGTGTGTGTGTGTGTGTGTTGTTTGTTTGTGATATGTAATGTATCTTTATCTGTCATTCTTTTTCTTAAGATTCTTTTTTTTTTCTTTTTTTTAAATTAAATTTCCATATTATCTAACATAAGAGGAATATTCATGATGAGATTATCTTATTAGTCATTTCTTTATTTTGTCGATTTTATATAAGAAATAAATGTTATGTGTACGTAAATACATATATAGTATATTTTATAATATAAATAAAATAATAATTAATAATTAATAATGAAATTAATAATTTTTGATAATTTTATGATCAAACTGTATCACTTTACTTCATATGTAATATTAGCATATTAGTAATATTATAAAATTATTTATATATTATTATATATATATATAATAATTCTTCAATAACCAAGATAATAATAATAATAATAATAATATATTATTATTTAATTAATGTTACATAGTAATATTATTAAAATTTTTCATTTTTGAATTAGAATATTTTAAAAATTCAAAATATCTCCAATGAAAATGTATTCTTCTTATCACATATTTTTTATTTATATTTTTTTTTTTCCATTTGTAAATATTCCACGAACTATACTACAGATTATATTCAACAAGATAATATTTTAAAATTTCAAGAAGATGTAGGAGTAAGGAGGGAAAAGGAAAAATAGATAAAAAAACAAACAAAGTAAAACGAGAGCACTTTTTAATGTTGGTAATATCATTCGCTGATAAAAAAAAAATATTTTCTCCTTTCTTCGATTATTTCTTTTCCTTTTCTTCTTTCTTTTTTTTTTTCGTTTTACTTTAGTTTGCTTTTAAAATCATTGCGTGACTGATTCATTCGTCGAAGGAAAAGTTTTCTTCTTTTCTACCCACCGTGTTCGTTTTCTTCTCTCCCGATAGGAAATGGACTAACCCATGAGAAATGGTTGGTGGTGGTGGGTTCCTGTCCTAGTCGTCATCGTTGGTTGGCGTTGTCGTCATGGTTTTTTTGTAGTAGTAGTTGTAGTAGTCACTGAAGTGGAAGGAAACAAAAGAAAAGAAAATAACTTACAAGAAATACTTAGGTTATGTGTAATCACTATAGTACGACTATGACCACATAATATTGTAACTTTGATTGGTTACTAAATACAATCGATATTACAAAATTAATATTTTATTTTTTATGATTTTATTTTATCTTATTATTATTATTATTATTATTATTATTATTTATGTTCGATTAACAATCATACATTTGATAATTTTATGACTCAAGTTGTTGCATTGAACACAGCATTTTCGAATATCGAGATAATTTGTTTTCTTAATAATAATTAATCATATCAATTTTAATAATTCTATCTTATATTTATATTTTATATGGAATTTTTTAAAGGGTTTCAAGTGTTGGTTATTTTATCAAACTAAACCGTACACTTTTATTATTTTATTATTTATGTTCGATTAGCAATCATATATTTGATAATTTTATGACTCAAGTTGTTGTGTTGAACACAGCATTTTCAAATATCGAAACAATTTGTTTTCTCAATAATAATTAATCTCATATCTATTTTAATAATTCTATTTTATATTTATATTTTATATGGAATTTTTTAAAGGGTTTCAAGTATTGGTTATTTTATCAAACTAAACCGCACACTTTTGAACGAGAGAGGATATTTGTTTCCTGATAATGCATTCGGTATCTTCGTATTTTGGTATTTTTTTTTCTTTTTTATTTTATTTCTTTTATTTCCATCATTCCACGAGTTCAATAGGGGTCATTTTAATAATTGGCGTCGTTCAATTGAATTACATGAGAATAAAATAAAGATCGTTAGCTTTTCTTATGATTTAAATTACAACATTTTATTTCAAATTTGTCCTTATTTGTAATTTGATTTTTTACGATCATTCGATTGAATACGATATAAATCACATGATAATAAATAAGATCAATTAAACGCGTCCGATTGAATTTAAATATTACGAGATAATAAAAATTCAAATGAAAAAAAAAAATAAAACAATTTTATACGATCGATAACAAAACGTTAATGAATAAGAAATGACAAAGGCTTCCTTTTTGGTCCTAATCGATCTTTCGTATGTACATAAATTACATTTTATATAGACGTTATACATAGTGTAAAGCATACGACATATATACCAAATGAAAAAGGGAAAAAGATATACGAAGAAGAAGAAAAAGAAAAAGAAAAAGAAAAAACAAATTATTCATTCAATTGAGGTTACTTTAAAAACTCGATTTTTACCGATGATTGTTTTCTTCCTTCTTATTTTTTGTTTTATTCTTTAAAACGAAACCAGGTCAGAGTTTTTCGAACTCTGACGTTCACGAGTACACCTAATATATTTATTAAACTTCCCCCTCCCCTATCTCGTCTTCCCTATACTCAGATCCCACCCCCTCCCCTTCCATTTCTCGTTCCTCCTATTTTTCCCGTTCGGGCAAATAACCCTCCATCAATAATAGCTTTCTCTATCGTTTCAAATCGATAAAATCGTTCTTTACTGCTAAACAGTAAATAGAAAAAAAAAAAAAGAAATAAAGGTTGGGTTAATAATAGTAAAGAATATTTTTATCGTAGTATCTTAGGTTTCACTTAAAACATATATATATATATGGTAAATGTTTTATAGTAGAATATAATGCAAGTTAATGTTCATTCGTGTACTTAACTTACTTACTTACTTACTTACGTACATGAATGGCCCATTTTTTTTTCTTTTTTTTTTTTTGTGTTCTTAAGATCAATGCATATATATCGAGTATAAAATGAACAAAAATTATATGTTCGGTGTTTTAAGTATACACTATTTTTTTTATACAGGGTAAACTAACGTAAAAGTTCCCAGGGTGATCTTTACAATTGATATTATTTTACAAATATAACCTAAAAATATTTTTCTTATTATAATATAACTTGCTTGTAAATAAATTAATTTTGATAAATATATTAATAATAATTTATTATTCACTTTAATTAATATATATTGAACTTGTTATATTTCTTTATGTTCTGACAATTTGATTTACGTAGTAGAAATAGAACGAGTATATTTATTATCTTTAATTTGCTATTATATATGATAAAAGTTTCGTATTTTTAATCGAATTGTTTCGAAAGGTGAACATTTTTTTTTTGGTATATGTTGTATATATATACCTGGTGTAACAAAAAGTATCCGACGAAATTGTCAATAATAAATTTGTCACGTGTGTAAAAAAGAAAAAGTAGTTTATGTCAGCGACAAATCCTAAAATATTTATCTTTCTAACATCCAAAGATGATCTCAAAAGTTACTATTATTACAGACTTTGTTAAATATTTGATCATATATATGTGTATATTCAATTTCATTCCTGTAAATAAAGTAAAACATAACTGAAGAACAAACTACACTAATCAAACCATACTTGAAAGTTTACAACTCGGAAATACAACATTTCCTTGCTTATGTGTTGACATAACTTATGTTTTTTCTTCTCTTACGTATGGGACAATTTATTTCTAAAGTTTTACTCGTGTATTTTTATTACATCTTTAAAAAAAAAAAAAAGAGTATTTTTTAAAGTCTAAGAATAACATTTTATTGGTTAACCTAAAATCCTAGTGGTTTGTTTATTTTTTCTTTTATAAATAAATTAACTTAATAAATATATTTGTTAATATATAATATATGTCATAGTTTGTTATTAAAATTAAAGACATTTACATAAAAATAATTTATAAAGAAAATTACTCCATCTTTAACAAACACTCAAAATACTCAAAAATTTATCAAAATACTCAATTGATAAGTTTGATAAGTGACAAAACAAAAATCAACCATATGTCGTCACTCTAAAACCATTTATTTCATATTATTTTATTTTTTCCTCGTAAATATTTCATTTCTTCGAATTCTTGAAATGATTCCAAACTTTTGGCAGATAATGTACAAGCAATGCCCCGTCGTTTTCTGTCGAAGGGGGGTCAACTTCTCGAGAGTGTAACACACACATATATATATATATATATATAGATGTGAACGTAGGGTGGTACATAACCTCCGTTAGCCAAGCTTACAAACTATATAACGTTTGGACGACATGTTTTGAACAAGACAGAGGGAGAAAGTACGATAGCATCGATACCATTATAACTAACGAAGTATTACAACGTCATATTGAATCGACATTTTATATACTACTGTACTATAGTCTTCACTATTACGATTTATGTATCACGTATTATACTATACCTTTTATGTTTCATCAATATCCTACTCCTACTACTACTTCTTCTTTTTTTTCTTGTTCTTCGTTTGTAGTTGTTAACTGTTCCTTTTATGATACAATGTAAATGTATAAAACGGAAGTATACGCGTTCGGGGTAATGTTTAGAATTAATGATTAACTTACTTTGAATTTCTTTTCCTTTTTTAGACTCTTCGATATCGCATAAATCTTTCTCGAGAGATTAACACTAGATATACCAGACCAATCATTTTAACTGGTCTTAAATTTTAATTTATGACCATAATTTACTTTAATTCAAAATTTCTACTCCATATAGGTAGCATTTGATTTCTGTAAATAATTAAGCGTTTTGTTATTTAAAAATGTGTATAAATCTATTTATCTATTAAAATTATTATTGTTCAACGTTTTTTGTTATTTTTTTAAGAGTAAATAAAGATTGGAAGGCTCAAAAAGTATTTTTTTTTTTTGATACACCAGTCATTTTGACTAGTGTGGTAGAAATAGGTATACTGAAAATGGTGGTATATTTAGTGTTAACATCATACATTATATTATTTTTTTTTGTTTCGGTTATTACGAAAGTATAGAGTATTATAAATGAACCAAAAATTTGATCCAATTTATAATTAATAATAAAAATCATTCGAGCGTGTTGATATGATTTAAAAAAAGGATCATAAATGAAAAGGTTAAATTATGACGCGTCGTTAGATTTTACACGTTTCATTTATTTCCTATAGGTTAAATTTTCTATAGAGAGAGAGAGAGAGAGAGAGAGAGAGAGAGAGTGTATAAAATCGAGTGAAAGGAAATCATAGATAAAAACTTATTCTTTTTATTTATCTCTAATTTAATTTCTTCCTTTCTATTCGCGAATTTAACGGTTACATGAAAACATTTATTTTTGGAATGTTTTTTTTTTTTTACGAATAATGACCGAAATAAAGTTAAATTGATAACAACGATGTTCTCTACGAGAAGAAATTATGATAGATTGGCCAATAAATGGTGACATTTATCTATGTTAAATATGCATATAGAAAAAAATCGAAATAAAAAGTACATGTGTTTTTGCATTGTTCTTTTTATAATAGGAGCTTTAACGTGTTCTACCTTGTCCTATTTCCTATAATAATAATATATATACAAATATACACACACAACTTGCATAGCCTTGTCCCCAGACGAACACACGCCCTACTTACTTAACTCGTCTAACGGATAATTCTGTCCTTAATTAAAACCCTTTAATGGGACGCATTCGTTTTATCTGCGTATCTGCATTTTCGTGCGCTTCGTTTCTTCCTTAAAATCTTATTTATTAAATGTTAAGATAGGTTAGTACGATTATCTAAAGTTTTTACTATTAGAAAGGTACCATTGTAATAATAATAATAATAATAATAATAATGGCGATAAAAAGAACCTTTGTGATTGGTCGATCGTTTGGTATTTGATTTTAAGGTTAACTTTCATTTTCTTTTTCTTTTCTCCTTCTCGTAATCGTTTTATACGTGAGTAATAAAGTGGAAAGATAGAAAATATATTGTTTTTATTTTCTTTCCTATTACCTTTTTTTTTTTTTATCGATCGATTCGATGCAACCCGAATCGATAACTAAATTCGTAATTCGTTCAAGTTGTGCCAGTGGTCGGTTATGTTTTTCGCGCGAAGATATGAATGATTACTTAGGTCGCACATGATCGATTTCACTATAGTGCTTGCTGATATATAATGGTGGTTGTGGTGGGGGTGGTTTATAAGCAAGTACCAGAAACTATGTTTCATGGACGATAAAATAACTTTTAATTTGTCGAAGGACGAATTATATGTTTTGTCTTTTTCTTCCTTTTACCGATAATTACAACCAATTATCTGGAAATGTGACAATTTTTCTATGAAAGAAAAATCAATTTTGTTTCTTTCCTTTTAAAAATAATATAATACACAAGGACACAATAAAATAAATCCCTTTCTCTTTTATATATATATATATTATATTATATAAGTAGGCGTATCCAAGGTGCGTATAAATCAAAGTAAGACAAAGCAAGTGGGTAGAACTTTTGTCAGCGTGTTTTAAAATGGACTCTACCTACGACTTCAGATATACTATTACATACGTAGAAAATATATAAGGTGGTTTAATATTTCTTCTGTTTTCTCGTCGACAAATCTTATAATTTGAAATAGGACAATTAATATCTCTCAAGGATATTTTTAATAAATAAATATTATCAAGAAAAATTTAGAATATAAATTTTGATTACAATATAATAATAATAATAATAATAATTATTATTATTATTATTATTATATAGTTATAATTTATATGTAATTTTATATAATTATTAAATAATATTAATAATAGTTATTATAATAATTATAAATTAGTTATATTATAGAATATTATAATAACTAATAATAGTTATGTCTTTATCTTCATTTATGTAATATATATTTTAGAAATATTTTATGTAATAATACTCACAGTATCTAGCATAGATATACTAGCATAAATATACAGCTATTAACTTTCGTATTGTTACATTTCTATCTTCATCTATGTAATATTTATTTTACGGACACTCTATATAAAACTACCCACCCAATATTGTATTCGTTTTATTTTTCTGTTCTCTCTCTTTTATCTCAGATATCGCTAATAATGTCTTCGTAAGAACGTCTTTATTTGGTTAAAGTTCAACGACTGCTGAAGTTGCAGCACCGATCGATGTCTTCAATGAATTATTAATGAATAACGACAAAGATAGAGACAACACCGTGCTTTTCCTATCCTTACAAATCTTTGTTTCCATTTAATATAAGAGTTAACTCATGAAAATTAATTGTTTCTTAACTGTGTTGTTCTTATTCTACGAGACATCTTCTTTATCTTCATCTTCATCCTCTTCTTCTTCTTCTTCTTCTTCTTTCTTTTTTACATTTATAATAAGTTTACTAATGAAAATATAAATTTATTGTTACAGATAAGCGGTATCGTCTTCATCTCTGTAGGAGCAGTAATTCTGGTTGTTTATCGAGGTTACAACAATTTCGTCGACAGTTGGTTCTTCGCTGCACCTATCTTGATGATAATAGTTGGCATTATAGTCTCCCTGGTATCTTTCTTCGGTTGTTGCGGCGCAGTAAAAGAAAATCATTGCATGTTGATAACTGTAAGCAAATTGTTTCTTTTTTCTTGTTTATTTGTTTTACAAACAAAACGAAGATAATAATTAATTTACCGTTACTTGCCGTGACGACCATTTTTACACCGATCTCACGTTGCAATATTAAACTCTATTGAAACCTATATCTCACATTTTTATTATTATTTGTATTTTTCTTTTTTTTTCCAGTACTCTGTCTTCTTGATGATCATTTTTGCACTCGAATTGGGTGCAGGTATCTCAGGATATGTAATGCGTAACGAAGTAGATTCAATGTTGCATAATCGTTTGAATGAAACATTTTACCAATACAAAAGCGATGAGAGTATTCGTAAATCTTGGGATGTCATGCAATACGACGTAAGTGTATTTTTAATACTGAATAATTATTATAAATGGTTTCTTTATAATGTCAATCATTATTTTTTTTTTGTTTCACATTGTACTCACATTTCTTAGAATCATATTTAATTTATTCTTAGAAACGGAAAAGTGTGGTTTCTTTTTTTCCTGACTGATATAAAAACTCTGATAAATTCATTGAAAGTTTCCATAGTTTCTCTTTTTTGTATGTACAACAAAGTAATTATAAAATTTTCGTAAAATGAAATTCATTTTTGTTAGCCATTTTGTTCGTAAAAGAAAAGAAGAAACAAAATGGCTGCTTGATTAAGAAGGATCAAATATTTTGGATCTTTCTACAAATTATTAAAAAAAAAAATATATATATATATAAATATTTGCGTTGTAAACTCTAAATCGATTATTTTCCTTAGTATGTTAGAAATTATTGTACATATGATACGAGAATATAAGACTCGTATATTACTACGTTTATGTATTTTACATAACCTTACCCACATAGTAACTTACACGTATCCTATCTATCTTTATTTGTACGTAGCTCGCATTAATGATACTATATGCAAAGATCCTTGAATATTTGCTAGTATACTAAGTTTCTTATAAATCTAATAATTCTTCCTTGTCCTTAGTTTTTCCTATAAAATATCTAAAAAAAAAATCATCATCTGTTTATATTCATTACAAAGTATTAAATATATAAAAATATATTTATAATTATATTTATTTATTTTATTATATTAAATTTTATAGTATATATATAATATTATTTTAATTATTAATATAAATTTATATATATTGTATTCACAAAAAAACTATCATCTACTACGTGTATAATATTATATATGTTTTAAATATTGTTTTGCTCGTGATATTTAAGCTCGATCGATTACTATGGTAAAGTAAACTTAATAAATCTGGTATTTACTCGAAGAAGTGTGTTCTACACTGGGTCATTCTATATATAAGTATTATGTATAAATGTCTAGAGTGTCTTGTTTGAATCACCTATTATGTTATCTCTGGTTGCATGTTAATAATATAACATCATCAATTTTTTTTATTTTTCTAACAAAATATTTATATAACATTATATTCTTTAACTTTTACCCCATCCTGTATATATTCAATCGAATTTGATATTTTTATTAAAATAACTTGGAAAATTCAAATAGAACACCCTATATATATATATACATTACCTACACAATATTATACATCTTCACCGGTGAAAGGAAAATTGTGTAAGAATCGTTTGATCAATTACTAAACATATCTCCGCCATTGAATACAAGTTAATCGTAAACAACATTAACGTAAACAACAATAATAATAATAATAATAATAATAATAATAATAATAATAATAATAATAATAATAATAATAATAATGATTAAAATATCTAGTTCATGATCATATTCGAAACTCTTAATATAATTATTTTTCTTACCTCTGTATGATATCTCTGTAAATGTATTTATTAATTTAATCAATTATTTTTTATTTTTTTTAGTTAAAATGCTGTGGTATTAATAGTCCAGTGGATTGGTCAACCAATGGTTACACAGATAACGCTGTACCCGATTCATGTTGTACGGAAATTTCAACCGGAGAAAAATGTGATTCTAATTCGATTTATTCACATGCCGATGGGTGTATGCCCAAATTACAAAAGACCATTAAATACAATTCAGTAGCCTTGGCATCCGTCGGTGTAGGGATCGCACTTACTCAGGTAATATATCAATCATTAATTAAATGTTAATTAAATCATATTTCCTTTTTTTCAATTATGCAAAAATATAATATTATATTATCAAAATGTAATATATTTATTATAATAATATATTTTATTAAATTAAATATTTTAATTATTATTAAAATATAATATTATATTCTATATATATTATAAAAAAACAATTAATTAAATACGAGACTTATTGAATATGCAATTGTAATTGCAAGTCCTATAACAGAAACACATTGAATTAAAGATATTATTAACATAAACTTTGTATATGAGTTCTTGTTAAAAAAAAAAAAAAAAAGAAAAAAGAACAAATTATTTAAATATTCTTTTTTATTGATTGATTTCAGTTGATCGGAGTAACCTTTGCGTGCTTTTTGGCTCGTTCGATTCGTCGCGAATATGAGACTGTGTAAGCTGACAGCTTAAACAAATATTAAAATTGCAACATGCCTAACATGCACTTCTTTTTATATATATATATAAATATATATATATATAAAAATACTGTTCTGTTACACTGGTTACATCACCCTCTTACATGTTATGTTATAACTATATATATATAACTTACAATTTCGGTGCACAATTCTCACATATCTCAAGAATGTATTATTTTTTTTTTCCTTTTTATTGCTTAACTATCTTTACTGACCACATTTTGCGATTGAATACTCTAAAAAAAGAAAAATGAAAAAAGAATGAAAAATAATTATAAAAAAAAATAATAATAATAAGGGTTGATCAATTGGACGGATGGGTATGTTGGTATACTAAGTACGAAAATTGATACTATTTTTGGTATTTGGGCTTTTTCTCTTTCTATAGCCGTGTAAAAGTCTTTTTTAGTATGTTTTATATATATATATATATATACACACATTATAAACATTTTTACATTAAATTTACCAACACACATACACAAAGACTTTATATGTATAATTATTGTAATAATCTCTCTCTTTATCACACACTATAGCAACAATTGTATTTTTTTTTTGGTTTTTTTTGTTGTTGTTGTAAATCCTATATAAATTTGCACTCTATGTAAGGTAACTTATACGTTATATTACATACGTAATATATATATATATACCTTAATCGTACATAACTTCAGCTTTGTAATATTGTTATAGCCGAGCCATGGATAATAACACGATTCGAAAAATGGCATATAACATAATTATTGACCGGCACAAATTATTTCAATATATCCTAAGAGCTTTATGTAAAATGTGTAAACTTTAAACGATCATTATCGTTTATATATATACTTATATATATATATATATATATATATATATATATATTATCTCATTAGAAAAAAAAAAGTATATTTTAATAGTTCATTCGTGCCAATCTTTTTTGATTTCAAATAATGCAAGAAAAAAAAAAGACAAAAAATGAGGAACACAATTAAATTTTAATTTTTGTAAAATTTTCGAACAAGTTTTTTTTCTTCTTTTTTTTTGTCTAAGAAATCTCTTGGCTAAAATTTTGTCTTATAAAAAATGGCGTTGACGATGTTAAAACGATGACAAGGATATATTATTATTTTTTTTTTTTATTTTGTTATTTCTTCTTTCACTTGTCAAAAAATATAATTCTAAATTTAAAAATCGTTAAAGAGCGAGAAACAGACGAAATTTATGTTAACACTAGATATACCACCATTTTCAGTATACCTATTTCTACCACACTATTCAAAATGACTGATGTATCAAAAAAAAAAATACTTTTTGAGGCTTCCAGTCTTTATTTACTCTTAAAAAATAACAAAAAATGTTTAACAATAATAATTTTAATAGATAAATGAATTTATAGATATTTTTAAATAAAAAAAATGCTCAATTATTTACAGAAATCAAATGTTACATGAAGTAGACATTTTGAATTAAAATGGTCCGACCAGTCAAAATCACTGGTCTGATATATCTAGTGTTAAAAAAACAAACAAAAACAGAAGCATTTCTTCTTTCTGTATATTCGTACGAATAATAATTATAATAATAATACGTGTCTATTGTAGATTTTAATTATTAGGGCTCAACTGTAATAATGCTAGTCTTATCTGGATTTCATTGTTTTATGTTTAAGTACTCGAGATAAAACTGTACAGTTTCAAATGTATCTGTGATTTAAAAAATCATGATTATTTAAGCAAATTAATTCTCACAATATGTTTTTTTATGTTTGTTATAATAAGAACGAAGAAAGATTTTTTTTTTTATTTTTTTTTATTTTTTTTAGATTAACAGATATATATCATCCCTCCCCTCTTTTTGTCTACACGAACAGTAAACAATTATAATAGATTTTTAGATCGAGTGAATTCATATATTGATATGTATATATATATATATATCAATATATGATATATACGGTCAAATATATTATGCGTAAATTACAGTTGTAAGAATTAATATTTATATATTATTAAGATGTTCTGTTGTTTATTACGGTGTAAAGTTTACGTAGTGTTATAATTATATAATTCATAGCCATATATACATATATATATATATATGAAGAATTAATTAACGAAAAACATTTTCTACATAGTGCAGGTAAAATAATACAAAATAAACAAAAAGTCAATGCCAATTATGTTCATTGTTATTATAGTGAAAGGTCTGAGACAACTTTGGACAATGCTGGTAATACAAATTTTGCTTAAAAATTATGTTTTCTTTTTTTTTTAATTATATAAATGGAATGTTTGCTTTTTTCTATGTTACCGCTTTAGTCGATATGCAGTGCACTTATGTTACTCAATTAATGTATCTCTAAAAACCAAAAAAAAAAAAAGAAAGTTATGAAAAATCTAGTGACGTAATATTTTTACTTACAGCGAAACCACAGCGCATTGATCTGCCATCAGTTAAAAGGGGGCATTTTTCATAATATTGTTCATCATACATTGGCAGAAAAAAAAATATCTTTCTATTTCCATTGCGAATATGATCCATTTTTAATTTTTTTTTTTTTTATTAATATCGTGCTTTGAAACAAAACTTACAAAAATGTATAGCAAAGAGGAATGATGTTTTTACAAAAAAAAAAAAAACCAATACATTTACTATCTTTTCAAGTTACTTCTAGTAACTAAACTAATTCAAGTTATATATACATGTAACTTGAAAAGATTTTAATCGTCGAGGTACTATTTTCTGATTTTTCTTTTTTATGAAATAATTTTCTAAAAAAAAAAACAAAAAAAAAATGAAAAAGAACGGGGATGATTTACTGCCATTAACATGCCAAAAATGCCAAAGAGAGGGCAACTACTATAAAAGAACAAAAAACAACAAACAAACTATATATATATATATATACAATCTTACTCTCATTTTCTTTTTATGTAGAATTTTATGAGATCATCGTAATGGAACAAAAAAAAATTAAAAAAACAAGTAAAAAATAAAAAAACAAAAAAAAAACATATAAAAAGATGAATTATAAAAAGCGTTTGAAAAAAAAAAAGAAACAAGAAAAGCGACAATTGTTGACAATTAATGCAATTTAATGTGCCATGTGTTTCGCAGCTATGATGTTAAAATTAAATGATTGAAAAAGAAACGAACAAAAAAGAAATATTGTTGTCATCTACGTAAAAAAAATATGTCTTCGCTCCTAGTAGAAGCATAGTTTATTTTAAACATCTATCGTGTAAATGTGAGATACTTAATCACATATAGTACTCGCGATAAAACTTAATCAACCATCATTCCTCTTTAATTTATAAATAATACTTGAAAAGAAACAATGAGCTATTTTTGCCAAATCTTCCTCCCTCCAAACGTTGCAATGTGAATCGATAATTATCTGAGATTTACTTGCAGAAACAAAAACAAAACAACAACAAAAAAAAAAGAAACACAAGCTTTATTGTTCTAGTATTCATTATTATGCAAAATGGCTTATTGATTCTATTATATATAACATATTTAAAAATAAACGAATCATTTAAAACACGACATACATTCCTATGTGTGTTTTTTTCTCGATGAGTAAAAGTTTTTTGTAATTTGTTTTTTTTTTTTAAACAATTTATTTATTTAAATATAGTTATCTCAAAATGTTGCAGCAGTCTTTACTTGTACCAAACTCGTAATGATATCGTATTTATTCAATAAATGTGTGCGTACTTTTATTCGTAAACGACAAAGTAATAATGTGAGTTATACATATATATATATATATATATAAATATTTATATACATATAAGTAATGCATAAATAATATTTTCTTTCTTTTTATCAATGGCTTAATGCATAAATGAACAAGCATCATCTATGTGTCTTGGTATTTAAAACAATTTCAATGAAACATTAAATGATTATTAACATTTTTAATTTATCAATGACGAAAACCTTCGTGTCATTAAAATATTCAAATATTCTGCAACTTATGTTTTATGCCGTTAGTATTATATTATTAAAACAAAAAGAAGACTTAAACATTTTATCCTTAATATATGCATTCTTATGTGATAAATTGATATAATATTGATCATTAATATAAAAGAAAAGAAAAGATCATTTTACATTGAGTCAATTTAATGAATCAAAGTATTTGCAATACCGATATCATAATATTGTTCTATTGTTTCTTTAACAATAAGTCTTTTAATTATTGAAAAGAATAATTTGTAACTAGGACAGTTATTGTTAAACGACAAGTTATGTTAATGATAATAATAATAATGATGATGATGATAATGATGATGATGATATATACGTATGGTACTTGAAAATTTGCTACAATATTCTTTCATTCAATTGAACAAAAAAAAAGAAAAAATCATTATAATATATAATTATTTGAATGTAATGGTACAACGATAAAGAAAGAAAAAGAAAGAGGTGTAAAAAGATTTCAAATGGTATTTATATCATTTATGTATATGTACGTTGTTTTAAAATGCACTCTGGTAGTAATTAAATATGCAAAAATTCAAAATGAATATAAACGAAAATATTAATAGATAATTTGTGTTGTCACACATGATATTATAATCTAACTAGCTAACAATATAAGATATATATATATATATATAAATAAATATATATGATTTTAAAGTGTGCCTAACATACAGAAAAAAAAAGGGGAGAAGACATATATAATAAAATGATTAAAATAGACAAGAAAAAAAAAAGAAAGAAAGGAACAAAAAAAGAGAGAGAGAGAGAGAATTTTAATGTCACTTAATTGCCTTGTGCAACATAGCTTGTCCAAAACTAGCACCTGTCCAAAGTTCGCTCCTTTTTATTTATAATAATCGTAATTTTTTTCTTCTTTTTTTTTTTATAAATCTCAATCTGAATTCTTGGTATAGATTGATAATTGGGCAAGAGATAAGACTGATAAAGATTATTATAATCAGTATTAATATGAGAGAGAGAGAGATAGAGAGAACATTGGTATTTTACATATTACATATTATCGTATTCTTACAACAAGAGAGTGTGAATTTATATTTAAATTACATATATATTTTACCTGCTAATTTCTTTTTCTTTTTTTTTTCTCCTCATATAAAAAAAAGAAAACAAAAAATTGTAAATTATAAAAATTGATATCGATAAAGACAAAAAAAAAAAAAGAAAAGAAAAGAAAAGAAAAGAATTTATATTTTTTAAGATAATTCCATTATATTTTAATGTAACTTCATTGATTATCTTTTCTTGGCAATTTAGGAGCCAACGACATGTCCTTATTAGCACATATATTTGTCTAGCCTTTATGTATATTATAATAAATTAATTACACTAATCTTTTTATTGCATTTGAATTTTTTTTCAAACACATTCTTACATACCTAGTATATAACAAAATTTATGAAGGATAAACAAAAAATATGATGATATTGTAGTAAGTTTATAATTAGTTTTATTTAATTGTAATTTGTATATTTACGCAGACCGTTCGGTAACAGACTAACATCCATCATTGATTAGGATTAGTGGATTTATTATTTCTTTGTATTCTTCTGACATTTTGATATCGTTAAAAGGTTGCAGTCTCTTTTCATTTCTTTTTAGTAAATAAAAGAGATTACAATTAGCATTTAAACGCACTCATCAGTTAAATAGTTTTTCTTTTTTTTTTTTTTTTTGCGAATAACGCATGTTTTATTTTCTGTGAATAATGCAGCCTAACTTTGAAACGTATATATAAATTATATATAAAATAAACAAAATAGTATTTTTGTCTGATGAAAATTGCTGAACTAGATGCAATTTAATCAATGAACTTATAATATAAATAAATCTTTACAAAAACAAAACAAAAAAGAAAATAAAAATAAAATGAAATGTGGAATTCATTACTTTCTTGGAATGAAACATTTCCCCTGATAATTTTTTACAAAAAGAATACAAACTTAACATGATCCTCAGTTAAATCAAATTTAACAGGATATTAAACATAATTAGCAAACTGCATTATGCACTTTCACAGTCGTATAATTTTGTTGTTGTCGTTTTTTATAATTTCGTGTATTTAATTTTTTTTTTGCAGCTCTCTTTCTCTAATTAAGGAAGAGCAAGATTGATTATATTCCACTACTACTCTTATAAACAACAAATGCACGTTTGACAAATATGTGTGTATGTATATCGACGTATTTACAATTCCTAAGTAGAATCAATGCGCCGCGCCACTTTCACACTTAAGCAACATACAAAATTTGTATACTCGTTCAACAGTTTACAAAAAATCAGATTTATCTAATATTATTCTCAAGTAATATTCTCATTGTAACTGAGTAAAATTATGCATGAAATAGTTTATATATATTTATAATGGAGGTAAGAAAAAATGAGCGAGAGAAAGAGAGAGATAGATAAATAAAATCTCATCTCATCGTCATGCAAAGTCATTTCACGCAGTAGTGATATTTACAAGAGAAATTCTGACATCGAAGAGAAAAATCTTATATGCTTAGTTTACATCATTAAACTGTACAATTTTCTTTTCAATTGAATTGAGTTTTACTGATTGTTTATTACAAGGTATATAAATTGCAGTCACACGCATTACCACCCAGTTTTCCAAGCGACAAATTTACTCCTTTGATCAGAATTATTTACAAAGTGGTCTGCCGGTCCACCTTGTTATTAAAAGTAATCATCTTTCGTCTCTTGCCATAAATGTATTTTAATATTATATATATATTTATATATATATATATATATATAGAAAAAAATTACTTCAAAAAGAAATATCTATAAATTCGTTCATTAAAGTACAATCCCAAAGAGGATTATCTCTTTAGCTAAAACATAAATTTCAATACTTTCTCTGTGAACACATTGTTGAATATGAAATGGCTATTATTACAAGAAATTACAAAAAAGAGTAAGATTAAATCTCAATTTGTCTTGTAGCACAGCCATTTTTCTAAAGAAAAAGAAAGAAAAGTACAAATACCAAAGAAGAAGCAACGAAAAGTAGTACAAGTTCATGGAGTCAATACGGAATACTTATGGACTAATAAGACAATTTATACATACAGATGTAGACAATAGAAATTGCAGTTTCTTCAATGTACTAGAGTTTGAATATACAGGAAATGATATTTATTTACAGTTACAAAGATTTTAGTAGGTGGCCCCAAATATTATAATTGGATTTAATCGTTTTTTTTTTTTCGAATATACCAATATATATTCTTTGGAGATGTACTGGGTACAAATTTTTAAATAGGTGCACGTAATGACGTGGTGTTTATAGCCAATTTCGATGGGATTAAAATCGAATTAAAATGATCATTTTTAAAAAATATCATAAATTGAGTAAATATAAAAATATGTAAGTATACATATCGTGAAGAATCGTAACTTTTCTACATTCACATTTTACAAACTATGCACCTAGGTTGACTTATAATTTATTTGTTGTTTTTATTATTTTTCCTTTTTTTCTTTTTGTAATAATATTGTTCATGATATCTCACCTACCCTACAAATGTTAGCAATATCGGCTTAGTATTGTGTTTGCGTACAATACAATCCATTTAAATACTATCTTGTCAATAATTTTTAGGTGAAAAAACTCCTATTTCATGCCCTAACACATTATACTCGCACACACATCCATTCATCTTAGGCACATTACATCCTTGAAACAAAGCACATCACAATCATGGTCAAGCTGATCTCAAAAGGTCTTCACGTAAAGTTTTTCTCGATCAGTATAATCATGGATTATTATGTATAATAGTTAGTGGAGTGAGACGTTTTCATGAGAACAGCAGTTGATGAGAACTTGGCATGAGACTAATAGGAGTTACATATGTATTACAAATATGTTCATGTAGCATAACGTTTGGTCCATAGCCGTGCTATGCGATCGTGTTCTTCTCTGTTTTGTAAATATTGTGTTGCTATACTACCCACTAAAGGATCAGCTGTAAAAGAGAATAATATTAAACATTTGCTTAGAACAAATTGATCATTTTACAAATATTTATTAATTAATCATTATAAAATATCACACCTGGATTACAGTCTGTGAGAAGGGAGCATATAGAAAGTAACACTTTCGAAATGGTAAGTGCAGGAGACCAATTGTCTTTTAATATGTCCAAACAGATCACTCCTTGACTGTTGATATTGCAGTGATAAATACGTGTTCGGAATGTTACCTGTAAAAACAAATGAGTTATATTATAAATATTACAATTATATTAATTAATCCCTTACATTATAGCAACATGAGAGACTTGTGATACACTTTACAGACCAAGCATAAGAAGCACAAAATACAGAACTAACTTTGTCATTCAGTTCTCCATGCTTTAGCTCATATGACAAAGGATCAAATAAATAATATAATAAAAAAGATTGAAAAAAAGTTCTAGTATACCTTTGGAGGTTTAAAGGGATATTCCGGAGAAAAGTGTATGTCGAGAAAAAATACACCTCCTTCGTATACAGAACCTGGAGGACCCAGTATTGTAGATACCCATTCGTATAAATTATCTCCTTTAGGCCCAGCACTATAAAACAAAAAAAGATAACGTTGAAAATAGAAAATGTAATTTGCATAACACACATATCATTGTAGTAATAAATAAGACAATACGATAAAATGTAATAAATAGATACAAAAGTATATAAACGTATTTATAACTGTAATCGACAAACCTGCAATTTGGAGGTGGATCTAACGTGATTTCTGCCAATTCTTTCTGTATCCTGCGATATAAGAATATATCAAACGAATGAAAATAATGATAAAAACAAGGAATATGATTTCCCCGATGTAAACATTAAAATGATTGATCTCAATGTTTTAATACCTTTTAGCAGAAGTTCCTAGAGCCTTCGACATCTTTGGATTTGGCTTGGTTTCTTTATTTTCTGGCTTATTGTCCGCCAATGAGGAACCACGACCTCTTCCAGTTCCACTTGAGCCTGCTCCGGACGACATGATTCTACGATGTATGAATAAACCAAAAGGTTATTGCTAGTTTTAAATGATTCGTTGCAAATAAACAAAACTTTTTAAATTCATAACAATTTTTTCATAGTAAAGAAAACACATTATTAAATAATTTGCATCCTATGATGCTCAATACTCTTTTAATTTAATTTGTAATTCTTTAAAAAAAAAAAAAACAATATAAATAAAAAAAGAAATAAAATACGAGGAGATTTATAAATAAAAATATTTCAAATTTCTAATAAAACGTTTGTTTGATGTACAATAAATTTTCGATCAGTATGACAGTAGAACTTTAAATTGATTGATAAAATGAAAAAAAAGAAAGAAAAGAAAGGGGAGAAACGCTAAAACTAAAAATTGAACGGTTCATCTCTTTTTCTCTCTCTCAAAAATTAAAAAAAGAAAGAAAAAAGAGAACAAAGATATCGATGTAAAAGAATAAGCCATAATAGTAGACATTTTTCCTAGATATCTTTCATATCCATTTGAAATATCTGGATTCGTTTGATCGTTTGGATGTTCGTTTTAACCGCGACGGGATAACCGCCTCGAGCATCCTCGAGAACACGATCCCTAGGAGGACGTACCGCCCGAGGAAGGGAAGGAGAGAGGAAGGAACGAGTGAGTGAGTGAGTGAGTGAGTGAGTGAATGAGTGAGTGCGAAAGAGACGGAGTCAGACAGAGAAAGAGAGAGAGAGAGAATTGAAAGTGGAGGAGGAGGAAGAGAAATAGGAAAGAAAAGAAAAGAAAAGAAAAGAAATGAAAAGAAAAGAAAAGGAAAGTAACGAAAAAGAATGAAATAAAGAAATAAAGAAAAAAGACAAATAAAAATGATAGATCGTAACGAAAGGTGTGTGTTAAATATCGTATTGATATATAAAAGTATAAAAGGTGGTGTTAGGTAAAGGAAAGCAAGCGCGAGGGACAAAGCGGTGTAGTAGGGTCTCGTACCTCGTGTGTATGATGCGTCCGTCCACGCCGTGTTTGCCGTCGTCGTCGCGCGAGGAACTATCTTTCGCCGGGATTGGTGGGGAGGGGAGGCGCGGGCCGAGGAAAAGGAACGAGGGAAAGGGACGAGAACGACGACTTGGCGGCGATCCGCGTAGGAGAAGAGTCGCGCGGACTTTGCGATGATTCGCGGCTTCGCCGGTTCTCTCTTCTCGCTTTAGAGTAAGTGGGAGAGAGAGAAAGAGGGACCGAGGTGATAGGGAGAGAAAGAGAGATAGATAGATAATGGAGGCCGCGCAAGCACCACGCGCGCAAGCTCTCTCTCTTTCTTTCTTTCTCTCTTTCTCTCTCTTTTTTCTTTCTTTTCTTTTTTTTTCTTCCCTTTAACAAATTTAAAAAACAAAAATACAAACTAAGGTTATAAACACGATTACTATCGATACTATCGATACTATCGAAGAGATTTCTTTTTAAGCTTTTGTGGATTGTTCCTTCATATATTGTTTTCTCTCGTTTGTTATTATTATAACACTTTTCTTTCTGATATTTTGTTTCTTTTTTTTAACCGACAATAATTCACGAAAATCTAGAGATTAATAATGTCAAATATATATACAATCAATGCATAATAATTTAGGATTCCGTTTTCGTACCAATGTCTGACGTGATCGATGTTAAATGACCGATCCCTGGGATCACGCAAGTAAAGTCAAGATAAAGAAGGGTAGGGATGCACGCCGACGTTTATGTATTACACTATTCCACATAGGGAGAAAAAGATGGGTAAACTGACACGAGCGTTAACATAAAGTAGAGATTCGAAACGTCGTCACTTTTTCTTTCCTTTCTTTCTTTCCTTTCTTTCTTTCCTTCCTTCCTTATTTAATTTTCTCTTTCTCTTTCTATTGTCGTCTTCTCTTGCTCCTGTTGTTGTTGTTGATGTTGTTGATCTTCTTCTACTTCTTGACACTCCCGAAACTACCGACGTTTCACTCACGTTCTCCTCTCACGATCATTTATCTCCCTTTCATGTCCCAAAATCGCGATGACGGCTTCCTTCGTTCCACGACGAGCGCCGAACAAACGTGCGCATCTCTCTGATCGTCCTCGCCGGATGTTGATTCTGCCCGGCCCCGTCACCGCCGCCGCCGCTACCACTACCACACTTTTCCTCCTACTCCAAAATACATAATATACCGCCACCTTCAAATCACTATCACCAGCAAACAGTTTATCAGTTACGCTGATAAACTTATAATTCTTACCGCTTGGCGGCGCACCCAACGCCGATACACTTTTCATTCTTTCCCCTTCTATCATATATTTTCTAATATTTTGTTATTTTTTTCTTATCTTTTTTTATCATTCATTTTTTAAATACCTTTTATATCATATATTAGATCTTCAAAAATTAAATATCTCTTTTTATAATTCCATTTCTTTTTCGTTAATTATTTACGCGTCTTCATTCTATTTCTCTCAAACTCAATCGCGATTGGTCGAAATTATTCTCTATTGAAATCGAACGAGAATTTCAATCATTCAAATTTGTTTATTTATTTCTTTTCTTTACATTTTTGTTATTTATATTGATTCATAATTACTTTCGCGATTTTTATTGATATTAATTTAGTGTTTATTTTAAATTCGTTATTATGGTTTAATTCATTACTATGTTTTGATTGGTCAGTCGGAAATTCTAGTCCATCATTGACGTTGTTTTTAACTAGTCAAAAATATCAACATACTATTTTTAGTTTATATTATTTTTATGATTAATCAAATGTTTTTTTTTTATTCTATGTAAAACATCGAGATCGTAAATAACATTTCAATTATATAATTGTGATGAATATAATAATTATTAATTCCAATTTCTATTGATAATGGCGCTGCTGTTTACTTCCTGTATAGTGACATGTCGATAAAAAAGTTTTGAAGTTTATAATCAAAAAATTATTCATTGTTGTTTATGTTTGAATTACGTCTTATTTGTGGTTATTTACAGAAATTGTATTGTGTGGTTACAATATAACGAAACAAGTTTAATCATTTTAGTGTTATATTTTTGATATCTTTTATGTTATATAAATATCGTACATTCTTGGCATTCGTGTGTTGATGTATATTTTGTAAATTAAGTTGCATAAATTTATAATTAGATAAGAATTATTATCGAATCAAGTGTGTCAACGGATCTGTTAACATTCCACAGTAGATATTATTAATATTTATTAAAATGGGGAAACGACAGCATCAGAAAGATAAAATGTTAATATTGTTTCTACATTTTGGTTTGTATAGGTTAAGACATAGAAACAAAATTTATATTTAAATATATATTATAGGTACTTAACGTACACCGAATGGACAACATTATACGGTGGAAAAAAATCAGGTCCTTTAGAAGATACCGAAGATACTACTTTCAGACGTTTACCTTACGATCATTGTTGTTTAAGTTTAACACCATTCGAACATCCTTATTGTGATGCACAGGGGCACGTCTTTGAATTGGAACCACTTTTGGAATACGTTAAAAGATTTAAACATAATCCTGTGACAGGAAAACCTTTAGATCCTAAAACGTTAATAAAATTAAACTTTCACAAAAATGCACAAGGACAATATCATTGTCCTATTCTTTTCAAACCGTTTACAAAACATTCGCATATCGTTGCTATTAAAACTACAGGGAATGTAATGTCGTGTGAGGTAAATAAAAGGCTTATCAATTTAACTAAAATTATTATACTTATGAATAGAAATTGTATTAATAAAGGTATATTTTTAGGCAGTAGAACAATTAAACATTAAAACACGTAACTGGAAGGATTTGATAAACGATGAGCCTTTTACGAGGAAGGATATAATTACTATTCAAGATCCAAATAATGTGTCAAAGTTTAATTTATCGACATTTCATCATATCAAAAATAATATAAGAGTTGAAGACGAAGGTAATTCTATGGTTTTATCAGAAAAAAATAATTTTTTACATATTCTATTTTATTGTATGTTTATTTATCTTTGTTTTTGAATGTTTTATTTAGATGCCAAAAAGGAAAGGTCCGATCCAACCGCAAAACTTAAAACAGTGTCTATGGAGACTAAAGAAATATTGGCAGAATTAAAGAAAAATTATAAAGAACCAGAAGCAAAAGAAGAAATTAGTAAACCACAAGCTGACAAATTTAATGCCGTTAGTATATTAATATTTTAATATTTAATTATTAATGTTTAATTAATTTTTTAATAAACGTTTGCAGGCTCATTATTCGACTGGTGCAGTAGCTGCGGGTTTTACATCTACTGTAATGCCAAGAGAAACGAATCATCAAGCTGCGGTAATTGCTGAAGATTTGGTTCGTTACGAACGGGTGAAAAAGAAAGGTTAATTATCATATACTTATATATTTCTGTATTTTATAAAAATACCAAATAATTAATTGCAAAATTTATGTTTATTTATAGGATACGTTAGATTACTCACAAACTTTGGTGCCTTGAATTTAGAACTTCATTGTGACATCGTACCGAAAACCTGTGAAAATTTTATAAAACATTGTCAAAATAATTATTACAATGGTACTAAATTTCACAGATCTATACGAAACTTTATGGTAAAATATTGAAATTATAAATATTATATTATTTATTAATATTATACCAAGTATACTTATAGATATTAACATTTTTTAGATTCAAGGAGGAGATCCAACGAACACCGGTAACGGTGGAACATCTATTTGGGGTAAATATTTTGAAGATGAATTTAAACCAAATTTAATTCATCAAGGAAGAGGTATTCTTTCGATGGCAAATTCAGGACCAAATACTAATGGATCTCAATTGCAAGTATCTCAAAAAAAATATATATCTAATATTTTATTAAATAGTAAACTAAACGTATGTGTTTAATCAAACGATATCATTTTACAGTTTCATCACCTTTCGATCGTGTAGACATCTCGATCGAAAGCATACAGTTTTTGGAAAAATCGTCGGAGGCTTAGAAACGTTAAACACGATAGAAAAAATAGAAGTAGATAACAAAGACAGACCTATCGAAGATATCGTAATACAAGGAGTATTAGTCTTTGTAGATCCCTTTCAAGAAGCTGAGGAACAATTACTTGCTGAAAGAGCTGCGGAAGCAGAAAAGTTAGCACAGGAAGCGAATAAAAGTAAAAATGCAGATAAAAAGGAAGGAAATGATGTTCTCAAAATTTATCGTACTGGCGTAGGCAAATATTTGAAGATAAACAAGGACGAGAAGTGAGCGAGACATTTTTCATCAAACATTTATATATATATATTATTATAGACTGCGTTAAATAAATAAATAAATTCATCAATTTTGTTTACAGAGCAAACAAAGATGAAACTTTAACGACGGAACCACCAGTTAAAAAGAAAAAGGTCGTAGCAAATTCGTTTGGAAACTTTTCCTCTTGGTAGAAATAATAATATTTAAAAGTAAGATAGTATATTAATATAAAATTACTAAAAAAAAAAGAAAGAAAAGAAAATCTATAAAGAGAGAGAGAGAGAAAGAGAAAGAGAAAGAGAAAAAGAAAAAGAATATTTTTTATTAATAAATGAATCTACAAACCATTCTTATCTTATTCGTTTGATCCTACGTTATATTAAAATATAAATGCACAAATTTTATTAAATTATATATATATGTTTGTTTACATATATGAGCGCATTCCTATAGATTATATATATATAAAATATACATATATATATATATTCATATATTTTGGATAAAATATAAACAAATTACGTAGTATCCTTCGAACTTAATTTGCTTAATGTTTATACAAAAAATAAAAATAAGAAAATAATAATAATAATATATATATATATATGTATATGTTTTTATCAGAAATATGTACGTCTAGGTAATAAGGTCAGTGTCGAGGGAAAATCTGGATTGCAAGGACTTCAGTCGTCCATGTTTGAAGTTTGAATGCGCACAGTCGGATAATACGGTCGCGCGTTGTGCCGTAAATTGCAGTATTTTGGACGATCTAACAATTTCAGTGAGTGTATTTAAGGATATTTTGTGTGCTGGATAGTCGAATAATTTGAATCACCGTACCATGGATGATTTGGGTGAGTAATTATTAAACTCTATAACATACGGCCGATTAAATCTAACCTCAAATTTTCACTCGACGCCTCGAGTCTGTCAAGTTGATTATTTTTTGATTAATTTTATTTATTTTTTTTTTTTTCTAATTCGTATTTTTATTCTTATTTTCATTCGTTTAATTTATTCATTATTTTTTTTTGTTTATATGGTATATTCTAGATTTACATCTAATTTAATTTATAAATTAATTTTTTTTTGTTTTAAATATTTATACGAAAAATGGACGCTACAACGTGTCATCGTGCATCTAATTATTCATATAAAAATGAAAATTGACAGTATTGACGTTTCAATGGAGCTTTGACGGATAGATTATAAATTTACTATAATTATACTATATATAATATATATAATGAATATTATTACTTAATATAAAATTAATTTAATTGTTATTATAATTTTATTACAAATAATGTATAACATATTTTTTATTGAATATCTATATTCATTTTTTATTTATATAATAATTATTGTTTAATTTTT